GCACGCCTGCCTCGTCACTTCCGCCCGTCAACCACGTACCAAGAACAGACGTACCTGTTAGCAGCTGCAGTCAGAATGAATCTGGCCGCATTCACGGTCAGATTATTTGTGTTTGGAACGATGAACCGATCTGTACTCTTCAGCTACTCCGCATCTCTTTCCCCATTCCCCTCGCCTCTTCCACTCTGTCTCTTACCTCTCTCACTTACAGATACCTCCACACTTCTCCTCACCGAATCTCGCTCTATCTTTCAAGCACATGCACGCGTGCTCTCCCGCTGTCTCTCGCACGGACTTACTCCCTTATCCTCCCCAACTGGTTCTCTCACGCTCGCCCCTTCCTTCTCTCCCGCGGAGTCCGTCTTCATCATCTGCCTGTAGCCCTTTTGGCCGACAGTTATAAGCTCACGCTAGTAGATCCTCACCTATTCATCTTCCCCTCACATTCGAACTGGCGCCTCCATTCGCACTGTTCAAACACTGCCTCGAGCGTGGGCGGGGACTGCGTACGCCCCTCATGCTCCTGGATACTCCCCCCTTTTCCTCCTTCTCTGTCGAGGTCTCTCGCGCAGCGCACGCCTGATGCTTCAAGATGATTCTCAATGCCCGTTGCTCCACCGGGCTGTATCCGAGAGCGAGCTAGTGGGCTGGGGACGCCTGGCTCCCTGTCCCCCGCTTTCCCCCTAGTTGTCTCGCTATTTCCCAGTGCACACTTTGTGCGTCCCCTCCATCTCGCTGAAACGAGCTATTGTGGGGGCGGCGTACACCAGGCACACCCACCTCGTGCATACTTCACAATTGTTCCTCGCCCCTTTCGCGGAAGCTCTCTATATTCTTTTTGCCCAAGCAGCACGGGCTCACCATCAGGCCCATGTCCACATTCGAGTCCCTGCGCCCTGTGGCTGAAAAATTCATCAGGGTCTGCAGGTTGGTACCAACCCCAGTCCGCAAGACCGGGTCCATCGCGCTCGGCAACTGTGTCATAACAGCAGTCCCACACCGGATCGAATATCACTCCGAGCCGGGCCAGTTCCAGATCGACACCGACTCCAGAAACTATTCTGCCAAACCTCAGGCCTGTATTCGTGTACCAAACTGGTGACGAACCTGAAAACTAGTACCCAGTCGATGCGGAACCAAAACCGAACCCTTGCCGACAGCGAATATCATAGAGAGATGTCATACCGTGTACCAAAGACAGTTCCATGTCCAAGTCAGCCCAAAACTGATCCTGCCAAAAGCACAGCGATGTGCACCACTTCGATGTCGAACCAACGTAGAATACCGCTCCCATGTGCCCAAACCAAACCAATGAAACCGTATCACAGCAATATCAGGCCTGGATAGCTCGCGTCATACAACCCCGAGCCTGTCCCAAACCTGAAAAATAGTACCAGCCTGTAGTACCACGTCCATGCCAAACCAAACCGGACCTGAAGCAACCACCCCCGAACCTGTGAACAATGTAGAGGCGCGTACCACTCAAGCGCCGAACCAATACCATATCAACACCGAACCTGAAAATGACCTGTGGTGTCTATCTTAATGATGTCGAACCAATACCGAACATGAGACATGCTGAGGTCGTGCCCATACCGAACCCGAAACATGTTGATGTCGAACCCATGTAGCTTCGCCGTAACAGTTCCGAATCTCATGTCCGAATCGGAGCACCGGTCACACTGACACAATAACAGCGAGCGGCTCAATCAAAGTAACACAGCGGTAACACCGGCGCAACGAACCCAAGCGAAATAGTCAAAGTAATATAACGGTAGCACCATGTCTTCCATCCGCCCCACACTCATAACACAAGCTGCGGCGGTATTAGAAATCGGGGTAATCAGGTAGGCTATTTAAGGAAATCTCAATCGTCAGATAATTGAGAGATGTCGTCAGAAGAGGAATAAATAAATAATCCAGGGTCAGATCCGACCTCGAACAATTTGAACAAATATCTGTAGATCATCCAATAATCGTGGTTTTTCTTCCCTTTTATCATTTTTAATTATTCTCCTTATTTCTTGAATCTATTATAAAATTTAATGATAATAAAGGCAGTTATATCAGAGATACATTCCGATGAACTTCAATCAAATAACGAAAATCCCTTGTTTTTCTCTTTCTTTTCTTGCTTTTGATTATTTTTCTTATTTTTAATTTTAATATCGAAAATATCTATAATTGAAGGCGATTCCATTAAAAAATAAATATTGAAATTAATAAATATTCCGTTTTTCTCTTCTTTTCTGTTGTTTTAAATTCTTTTTTCCATTTTTAATTTTAATATTAAAAATTAACGAAATGGGAGGCTCCACTCTCGCGTCTATTGGACAGTGTAAAAGGGCCTCGCCAAAGCCTATCCTCAAATTTCCGTCCCGCAGCCCGTCGTTTCGGGAACAGGCCTAGAGCGGGCGGAAATGAGGTAGACAATACGGTAGCCATCAGGGCGGCGAAGCGGTAGTCTCTCCCGCCAATTTTGAGGGCTAGTCTTGATGGTCGACACCCCTAAAATTAGGGATGGTCTGGCTACCCCTAATTTTTCTCAACCGGTCCGACGAAAGTCCCGGTCGATTCCCTCTCAGACAACTTTTCTAAGGGTCAATCTCTCGGTATTAGGGCGACCGACTGGTCTTCGGTCGCCCAACAACGTAATTAAAGTGAATAAACAAGAGTGAGAAGACAATGGAACCTTCCCATCTAGTCCCGGTCGAAAGTGAGAACTCAGATGATGGCTTTTCATATTGCATCATTCAGAGGACTGGACGTGAGAAACAGCAACCCATCTAGTTGGATGATAGACTTAGTCAAAGTACGCTGAATGTTATCGGAATTTTGTCAGTGAGACAATCAGCATAATCGCTCTACTCGGCTCGCACGGTCAAATCAGAGAACCTGTCAGAAATTCTTATGAAGAAGAAAAGCACTCAACGATCTGCAACCTTCCCAGCATTCCGCCACTGAGTGACCAATGTTTAGTGATTTATTATTCCAGCAGCATTCAACCGTCGGTCATTCAACCCTCGGTGTTACGGACTCCGCCAGGGCTCAATCCCTGGTCTATCTTTTTGCTGGTCGGCTGCATCCCGTTTTCGGCCTGGCTCCCTTTTTCCAAACCCCTCCTCTGGTACCGTAGGATTTTGGACAACTGGCGCCATGCTGCAATTCGAACGCCACTTTCAAATTCCACATTTTTCAGTTCTGCCCTTGGGGCTTTGCAGATTTGCCCCCGGTACTGTACCGGACAACCGGTACTTATACCGGTGCCCTGTACAGTACCGTTCGATGATGTTCGATGATCCAGAAGTTCTATGATGTTCGATGATCCAGAAGTTCTATGATGTTCGATGATTTGTAAGCCTTGTCCTATTGTGCCATGTGTCGCGCGGGTAGAGGAGGGAGCGCGAAGCAGGTGGGGAAAGAAACGCGCGGGGGAGATGGCAGGGGC